TCTCTCTCTCTCTCTCTCTCTCTCTCTCTCTCTCTCTCTCTCTCTCTCTCTCTCTCTCTCTCTCTCTCAATCAATCAATCAATCAATCAATCAATAGTTTTGCCTAAGGTCGATGACTGTTTCCTCGAAACTCTCAGTCTAGATATAGAGATAATGACCGGGCGTTCTATTCGAGTAAGGACGGCAGTAAGCGCGCGAGAGGAGAAACACGCACAGCTACCGTCCGTACCCCCGAACACAACGCACCTTCATCATTAATGTAATGTGTACGAGCCATCTTCCCGGTGTGTGGCGTTGCGGCGGAATCAGAGAGACAGGCAGACACACAGATACAGACACAGAGAGAGAGAGAGGAGCAAAAGAGAGAGAGGGGAGAGAGCAAGAGAGTAAAAGAAGGAGAGAGAGAGAGGGCGAGAGTGTTCACTGACCTCAGATGTGCTTCGCGCTTATCCTTCCAAAGCACCCTCCACGATAGCCACAGAGAAAAGCAACAGAGAGGGAGAGAGAGAGAGAGAGACTACTGCAAAATTGCATCTGCGGGGAGCGATAGGCAGCGTACTCTTGCCGATAGACTCGCTGCTTACAAGATTGGCGAGCGGAGGGTTGTTGCGTACCGGTCATCTAGAGCAATCTTGTCCCTTGGGGAGGGTGAAGCACTCTACACTCTCCCGAATTCAAGTTCAAGTCGAGCACTCGCGGCGCTCTGGCGCTTCGTGCTGATGCGAACGGAAATTTTCCGCCTGAGCCTCAACCCCTCCCATCCCCTCGTCGTGCGAATGCGAATGCGAACGGAAATTCTACGCCTGAGGGCGTACTCACACTAGGACTTTTTCTACTAAGCTCTGGACGTGATTGCAGGCCGATTCGTCCAGGTCGTACCGTAATTGCGGTTATATACATTTAAGGAAGTTGTAGTATATGTCCTGAGCCTCAACCTCCTCCCACCCCTTGTTTTCCTCTTTTCTTTTCCCTCAAAGCCAGTTCCGTGGACTGCGGTATAGCTTTGTCCCCACGAGAGAAAAAAAAGAGAAAACTACGGCGCAGTCAGGGTTTGAGTTTGAAAATGCACTTGAGGCAAAAGGGCCGGTAATGGTGAATGTATATAACCAAGGTTTCGGGACAGGTGGGGGTGAGCTGTGTTCGGGGGATTGCACGAAGTGCAATTTCGTGACTGCGCCGAAGTTACCCCAACAAAAAAACTACGCTCACCGCGAGGGCGCGAGGGCGCGGGGGCCATCCTGGCGCGAGGGCGCGGGACATCCGTTAAAATTGGAACGGTACAGAGAAGAATAGCATGGCCCCTGCGCAAGGATGACACGCATAAATGGAGAAAAAAGAGGCGCGGGGGCACAGCCCGTAAGTGTGTAGCCTATGTTTGCAGCCCGTCAGGGTTGCGTTTTATACCCCTCAGACAAACTGTTAGACCCCGCCAAGGGTGGTGACGCAGCCAGGGGCTTTCCCCTATTGATGTGGAGCCTGGGTTTGGGTATAGACTGGGTTGTTTGCTATGCCCGGAAGGGGGGTTGAGGCTGTTTGGGTTGAGGGCTTGAATGTTGCGGGTGGCTTTTTTGTGGTTGTTCATTTTGCTTGGGGGACATTTGTTTTTCCTGTACTGATGTAGAGGGTAAGAAATGTTGTGCCTAGCACTGTAAGTTATGTGGTGCGGAAGCCCTGGCGTAGGCGTGGTTTCGGGTTTGGGTATAAAACTTGTCTTTTCTTAGGTTATGGTTAAGTGTGGAGGAGGGGGGGGCACCCCCACACCCTTATCCAGTCTAGATTCCAAGTATATTTTTACCCCCCAGGGCTGGTTGATGGGTGCTCTTTTATGTTGGGTGTGTGTGCATACTGCTTGGGATGAATTATATGTGCTAAGTGTCCATTCCGTGTTGTCTGAATCTGAGGAGTTCATGAATATACCAATTGAGCTACCCATCAGTAGGCCCCTTGGTAGGGTGCAAATTCTAGGTTACCGGAGAAAAAACTGGGGCTATAATCAGCGGGTGCAAGATAGTAGAAAGAGAATGACATAGGAGCGAAGGAAAAGAGAGAGAGGAGGAAGAACAAGGCGGAAGTGTTACTTTTGGGTTTCATGTCGAGGAAAGCAAGTTGTTGTTTCACCATGTTCAAAGGTGAAAGCTCATGTTTATGCTCCCGATCATGTTCAAGTCCCTTTCCCCTTGCCTATCCAAGAGTAGAATCCTGCAAATAGAGCGAATACGACTCCCATAGAAAGTACGTAATGAAAGTGTGCTACTACATAATAAGTGYCATGTAGAGCAATGTCAAGACCAGAATTAGCTAATACAATTCCAGTAAGTCCTCCTATGGTAAACAAGAAGATGAATCCTACAACGAATAACATAGGTGTTTTTAATCGTATTGAACCTCCCCACATAGTGGCAATCAACTAAATATCTTGATTCCAGTTGGCACCGCTATAATCATGGTTGTTGCGGTGAAATAAGCTCGAGTCAATTCAACCACTAGTTTCCTAATGGCATCGGACTATATCTTCAACCAGAGAGAGAAGTGACATAAGCTTCGAATGGAAGCCTCAGTAAACGGTGGCAGTAACTCTAACTGTCAATTTTAGGGCAGTTATGAATAAGAAAGATTTCTGGAAAGATGGCTAAAAAATCATTGTCAAACATGGCTATCTTCTTTTTTTTTGTCGGCGGCCGGTCAAATACAAAGGCCCTTTAGGACCCAAAAATTGCCAAACATTGGGTACTAAATGACATTCATTCTATTTATATATGTTTTGAAAACTAGTACACTAGGCATGAAGTGCTATTGTTTTTTGAACAAGCGATGGTTATTTGATAAGGTTTTTAATGATTTCATATCTAAATCATTTTTACGTTTTGGGTATGAAGTTTCTTTGAAAACTTTAGACAAAGGTGCTATTTCCATTTTGGGTCCCTATGGAATTTCCACAACATTTCAAAAATTAGCAAAGCAAATAAGTACACTTCAAAGTGGCTTTGTGTACCATTATGCTTTTRTTATGTTAATCGGGTTAACCATATTTATTACCATCATAGGTCTTTGGGACTTTATTTCATTTTGGGTAGATAATCGATTGTATTTTATTTACTTATTGAGTTTTCTATTTATTCATCTCGAAAGAGACGTAAGAACGAACTAAAAACTTGTTGAAACCACCTAAAAAAAGCAAACACATATGTTACAAATTTGTGCTCCATTATTTGACAATCTGAGTGGTCTTATCAAGTGGCCTCTTATAGGGACCCTCATCGTTTTACTTATTCCTAACTCGAAAATACGGTTGATACGAAGTATTGCCTTTTGCACCTCTTTGATCACTTTTTTATAAAAAGTGTTTGGTAAACCAAAAATAATTTTGCCTAAACAAACAAAAAGGATATGCAAAAATAAACTAGTTTGGACTGAATTAAACCACATGCCAAATTGGCCTGGGTGAACTTGGATATTGCAAAGATTCTTAAAAAAAAAATCAGATTCTAGAAGGTGTTTGCCTCTTAGTCTTTGAGTGAAGAAAGACAGACTTTACGTTCACCCAGAAGAGCCTGAGTCAATCAATTCAATATGTAAATAGCGAATATAGTAGAGGGAATAAGAAAAAGTCTTATCCTTCGCGAGAGCGGCGGCGTGCTCTACAAGGCTCTTCCCTTCCGCCGGTGAGCCAAAATAATGTTATTGACATGAAATTCAATCGACCATTATCACCTCATATCACTATTTATAAGCCACAACTAACTTATACTTTCTCTATTTTTCATAGAATTTGTGGTGTTTTTTTAGCTACTACTGTTTTATTTAGTATTATTTTTGTCAAAATTTGTGAACTTAGTCTGACTTTTTATCACTTTTATTTGTTTGTTTTTTACTAACACTAGCGATATGCTTAACACATGCAAGTTGAACGTTGTTTTCTCAGTTGAAAACAAAGTGGCGAATGGGTGCGTAACGCGTGAGAATCTACCAAACAGTTTGGGGAAAATCCCAAACAGTCTAGATAGTCAATTTAGCGTGATAGTCAAAGCTTTTAGCGCTGTTTGATGAACCCGCGTAGTATTAGGTAGTTGGTTAGGTAAAGGTTGAACAAGTCGATGATGCTTAGCTGGTCTTTTCGGATGATCAACCACACTGGGACTGAGACACGGCCCAGACTCCTACGGGAGGCAGCAGTGGAGAATCTTGGACAATGGGCGAAAGCCTGATCCAACAATATTGCATGAGTGAAGAAGGGGATTTATTTTGTAAAGCTCTTTCATCGGTAGTGAGTGCTTGCTCCGAACCAGTGAAAATTGTATAAGCAATGTTCGATCAGCAGGAAACAACAAAAAAGTACGGCCGCTCGCCCTAGCCAGCGACCGCCGAGCTGTTTGGGATCCTCAGAGACTTTACTCAACGCATCTCACTTGTTTCATTAATAAGACGAAAAGGTATTTGGGGAATCTTTTTAAATAGAAAGAATATCCTTATTATGTTAATGTCAATTGAGTTAATGTTACTTGCTGTCAATTTGAACTTCATGTTTTTTGCATCGTTGATCATAGAGACTATCACGGTAGAATCAGTGACTGAGGTGAAGTCGTAACAAGGTAGCCGTAGGGGAACCTGCGACTGGATTGACTCCTTTCCAATATGCATACCCAGATATGATTTAATGTCGATCTAGCGTTAGCTGTAGTTTCAGAATCTGTTCGATTTCAGATAGGTGATCGTGAGCGCCAGTCGTTCTATTATTTTTAAAAAGAAACAAAGATAGGCTTGCCATAAAAAAAAAAACTTAATAAAAASATTCCTCGTTGCGAATCTGTGGCAAAGTTATAAACAGATGCAAGTAATCCCGAACGAACAAAAAAAGTACCTAAAAGACTGAATAAAAAAGTAACAATGTCTAGAAAGAAGGTCCAAGAATTCAACCGAAATGAAATGACTGAATGAATACAAGCTGTAGCTAATACCTTAGGCATCAAATATGCATTTTCTACGGGATCCCAAAACCACCAACCGCCCTAACCTAGCTCACGATAAGCCCACCAACTTCCCAGTAATTCCTTCGTGTTTCTACAAGAACACAAAAAAAAAACAACTCAACTTTACGCAAAATAGCTAAAGTGAGATTAACCAATCGAAATGAGGTTATTGCATACATTTCCGGAGAAGGCCATAATTTACAAGAGCAGTCTATCAATCCTAAAAATAAATCGTCTGTATACGTGATCCTATGGGCGCTCTTGCGTTTTCTTTTATTTACTTCGGCCTCTCACTCAACTCACTCACTTGAAGACTGGAACTACGAAGAAAGTAGAATAGAGAGCCGTATGATAGGTGACTATCTCGTACGCCCTCCCCACACAAGTTGAAGTGGGGGGGGGTTGAGGTCGCCCCATATGGTACTTTCGAGTTTTATGTGCATGGGAGAGCAAGTTGTTATTTTGCCACGTTCAAAGGTGAGAGCTAATGTTTATGCTCCCGATCATGTTTAAGTGGGGGGGAAGGGGGGCTCCGCCATCCCTCCCCCACACCCCCTACCCCCCCATGTTGAAGTGGGGGGGGTGAGG